GGCTGAAGAATAAATGGGATGTCTTTGCAACTACGTTAGAAGGTCATTATGTCAATGGAATATGTGAATAATCTCGTTGCCATTGATATAAAAATTGCTGATAATTTTATTATAGTATCCATAAGCATAGAGGATAGATTACATTCTCAATGACTGTTATAGTTTATCGGCGGATACCTTTGAAGTTAGTTATATCTATACGTTTATCAGAAAATCCTGTTATTACTGTTCAATATCTACGGATGATCTCGCTATCCAATTGGTAGATAATCTTATATTACGGACTAACGTATCGAATTGGTGGCTAATTTTGCGTTTATGTCAACAGAATCAAGGATAAAATACAGAAAGGTGGACAATCTTTCTACTTTCACTATAAAATTAATGAATAATCTTGCAGTTTTAGTTAAGACAAAGGGTGTCAAGCATACCAATATGTAGAATTAACATATAATTTTGATATATATATATATTTTTTAAATTTATACACATGCATCCAATGAACGATCTCGTTATTACTACTATAAATTTAAAAAAAGGGGGATTATAGATTATAAATCAACAAAGGCCGTTAGAAGTATCAAATAATAAATTATATAAAATATAAAGTAATGAAGAAAAAGTTTTAATTATATCCCTATAAAATTATTATTAATGCGCATCTATCACGCATAAAAGCGGATATGCTCGTATTACGCGATGCATGAAAAAACAAAGAGAAGAAAAAGGAGTATGCTTTTACTATCGTGCACAACTGCCTCCTCCCCGATGTTATAACCTTATAAGGTAGTTTTTTCTTTTATGAATTTTATTATTATTATTATTATTATTATTCAGAACACATAACACAAGTGGAAAAAATGAATGAATTGCTTAATGTCCGAATTCTACTACCGAAAATGGAGTAAGGAATAGTTATGCTCCTCTTCATTCAATAAAGATCGTCAGATAATTCCCTCTTGTTCTTCGTTGGACTATTTTGCCCGAGGAATTTTCGACTATCCAAAAACATTAAACCGAATTTTACGATTGTGTCTGTTAGACTTTACTACTTGACGAATTACGTCCATAGTTTACACGTAACCATTATTATAATTTTACGATCGACAAAGACAATAATATAGATACATAATAATTCGTATTAACTTGGGTTTGGAGAAGAAAAAATTTTACATTCCAAATTTGATTTGAAAGTTGTGTAGCTCTATAGACAAATGCTATACTTTTTAATAACCTTAGAATTTTTTTTCTAGCCATGTGAATTGTGATTTACTTTAAACTACATAAATTGAGTGTTTTTTTTTAAAATTAATTTAAAGGAAGAAAAATTTAAAATCTTAAGCTCTTAATTCCCAGAATTTTACTTATTTTAAGAAGTGTGATTTTGGATATATCCAAATATAAGTCGTGTTTATCGAAGATTATCGAACATAATTCATATTTATGCGTTTATCTGAAATCTTTACGCGTAGATACATATCGTAAGTGTCAAATTTTATGCTTAAATAAACCACAATTCTTACAATTCACATAAATGCCTAATTTACTGTTTATTCCATGCATAAGTTATGTGCTTATAATGTCCCTGCGTCAAAATTTAACTCGTAAAATCTATATAAAACATGTATTAAAAATAGAACTATATAATAATAGGCTGGTAATTTATCAACAGTTGTATAGAATAAAATGCAGTTTATATAATAGTCTATACGTATCTTAGCATCAAAGTATGCAATTAATATGTCTAAATGTTGTATGTATCGTTTACGTCCTGATTAATAACCTAAGCATAAATGCCTTTTAAAAAAATATAGATTTATATTTAAAAATAAATATGTTGGAATAATGAATTTATTGACTCGCGTGCGTAAAGTCTGTTGTATTGGTTTTTATTTAAGCATAGAATCAAAGCTTTAGACTAAACAGATTATATAAATAGAACAAATATAGAGCTATAGTCAAGTGTAAATACTGGTGAGATATTATAAATTTGGTTGGATTATTATAAAAATTAAAAAAACTATATTAAATAGTCTTACAAAACTAATAACAATAGACGATATCTTGACAAATAAGCGGTGAATTTAGACAATGTTAATAGAAAATGTAGAAATATAGGCTATCTCTGTACTTGAATTAAATGGAAATTTAACGAATAATATCATAAGTTTCGTCATTAGTTCGTAAAAATAAGATTTTAATTATAAAAAAAAATATATATATANTTAATTGGCTCGCTTGTCAAATTTAAATCATTTCTCAGGTTTAAATTGGTCTGACGAGATAAAATAAATAAATAAATAAATAAGGCACTATCATAAAGTATATAAGGGAAAACTCATTAATGAAGCGTGTCTAGATCGAAGAAAACTGCTATTGTCTTGTAAGTTACAGTATAAAAAGTTTTACACTGTAACTTAATAATTCGCTAATTAGTATTAAAATATTAAAGCTGGTTGATTGGAAAATGACAAAACGTATTCATTTAATAACGAAGAATGTGTGTAAAACAAACACTGAATGACAAAACTATAAATAAAAAAAGAATGATTCTTAAAAAGTTTATCTACCGTAATTTAAATGTATAAATGTGGAAATTAAAAACGAAAGAATTGTTTATTTAGTGGATTAAATAATATATAAAGTATAAGTCATTTTATACCGTCTATACCGTCTAAAAACAAAAATATTTTTGAGTTTGGCATTACACGCAATGGGGATATAGGAAAAAATATATATATATAATTATTCGCGTTGTTTCACGTGGAATTCTCTTTCCAGAGGTTGCAGGGGGTAGACAATTTTTCTCCTACGTCCGGAGTAGCCTCTGACAATCTTCTCTTGGTCAAGTTTCTGATGTCATCCTCCCATTGGGCCTTCCTGTTTTCTTTTTCGTTTCATTGATGCATAGATTCGTACCAACTATGTAAAAACATTAGACAGAGTTAGACAACCTAATAAATAGGGTATAACAATTTGAGGGCTTATCACACCAAGGCCGATTGAAAGAAGGACCAGAACTTTTACAAAAAAGGGTTAACAATATTTATTATTAATAGTGTAACCGTCTACCAGAATTTAGAAAATGTAGGAGAAACTAAGACATTTACTGGTCCCAGATAATATGTTATACCACATTGTCATTGTATTCTAATTTATACTTAATATTTAGTTTTAGTGTATGGGTTACATTGAAAAATTGTAAATGCAGCGCACTGCATATGTTGGTTATTCTATTGTATTGGCAGGTCATTGGTGTTGTATTTGTTACGTTGTTACCATGTGTTTGTAAGCTGATGAGGGGTCCTTGTACCCGAAATATGTACTTACCTAAATTTGAAATGTGATTATTAAAGACCAACCTTTTTTTTATAAAAGTTCTGGTCCTTCTTTCAGTCGGCCTTGGTGTGATAAGCCCTTCAAATTGTTATACCCTATTTATTAGGTTGTCTAACTCTGTCTAATTTATAGTCGTGGGCAAAAAGTGTTGTTTATTATTATGTAAAAACAGTTTAGGACCTCGCATTTTTACATTATCATTATTTAGTGGAGAGGAAGAGTCTGTTATATATTATAGCTTATTTTAGCCCTGATTGTAACATTAGTTAAATCAATAATTAATATTTTTTTTTTATATTGATTATCAGTTCCTTAACTATTTAACGTAAATAATATATTTAAAATTGCTCATTTAATTTATTCTACTCGGTGCTTCCTCTATATGTTTTTCTCGTATATTTTTAACTATAAGAATTTTAAATTCTTTATTTTTTCTTATTAAATAATTTATTTTTCATATATATTAACGAATATATTGTTATTGAATATTTGAAAAAAAATTGTATTTTTTTGCCTTATGCAATTATCTATAAATAATTGTTTTAAATTATATAGTCTAAATATAGTCTCTATTACATTTATTTATAGTCTCTTCCATTTTTTAAACTGTTTTTTCTCGGTTCTTTCGGCTTCCTTTTTTTAAAAGTTTAGTTTTAATTTTAAAATAGAATTTACGCATAATTTTTTTTAAAGTGCCAGTCTTATTTGTAAAATAATTTAAATAGATAATTAATTTAATTATTAGCAATATTTTTCTGAAATTTAATTTGCACAAAATGTTTTTTTAATTAATTAATTATTAAGTCGTGTATATTTTGGTAAGTGGCTTACTATTGGAGATAATCTAAATTCAGAAGGTCCTTGGAAGTCAGCGACGAGGCAAAATGCTTAGTATAAAATTCATGACGTCAATCCTCACTCGGTTATATATTACTTACTCTTTGGCCACCGACTAAAATTGCTTAAATGCTTGGTTGCGATTAGATATGAGGTTCGATAGGTGGAAAAAAATTCGAAGTAGCTACGTTTCGGAGAGATGTTAAAGGGCCTATCGAAGAAATGATAACCCCCCTACGAGTGTAAATGCCAAATTCTATACTAGTAGAGGCACTTAGGGCCTTAAAAGAATCTTAAATGACTTTATTTTTTCTGAATTCTAACCTATTTAAAATGGGCTTCTTACAGTCGATAAATTATCAAATCTAAAGAGACAAATATGATTTAAGGTCTTTTGCAGAAACCAGTTTAATTTTAATGGTTTTAATTAAGTTATGAATCAGGTTAATTTTCATTTTTGAATTTTAAAATAATCAGAAAATCTTGTTACGTCCGTCGGAGGAAATGAGAATAGTTAAAAATAATTAGACGTGTAACGAAAGTATAGGGTATTTGTAGTGGGAGAAGGTCCTTAAAGGCTTCCCAACACGAAAACAATTTTATAAGGCCCGTTTATAATACGAAGCGAGCATAAACACGCGATAGAAGAGTAGGGACTTTAACCTCGGGTTTAATCGGTTCCGGTAGCGTTTTAACGTGTCGTAAGTGGCAAATGTGAGTATTTCCCATTCGAATCGAGCACGGGGAGAGATAAACAACATCACAAATAACCGAGGATGGTTATAATTATCATGTTTTATTTATGGGGACGGTGGAAACTTTCACTCCAATACGAAGTGACAGGCTGGCGTCACGCCGCGCCGCGCATCTGCGCCGAGCGGCTGGCGACCCAACGTCTCGAGCGTGATTGGTGTGCCGGGGCAGTCTCGTTTTCGCCCTCAATCTGATTTGTCAGAAGGTTAAAGCAGTCGAGGTGGGTTGTGGTTCGTCTCCATGTCGTCGGGCCCGTCTTCCCTACTACTAACGTTGCCGTTTGAGGATTTAAGTCGAATCTAGGCATCGAAATCGAACAGTTTTTGTGTGTGAAAAATGCCGCATGTTGGCGGGAGCGGCGGAGAAGACTTGGCATCGACTGATGAGATCAAAGTGTTCAAGGACGAGGGAGAAGAAGAAGAAAGGTCTTCGGAAAACCTTACGGATCTAAAGTCCAGTCTGGTAACGGAGGGTGAGAAGGTAGGTGGGTGCTGTTACTGGTGAAGCGTTGAAATTTGCCTTAGGGCCCCGTGCCGTCCTTTGATGGTTTTTTTGGTCTCTTTACCTCCTCCGTTAGGGAAAAAGTTCCAACGAAGGATACTCTAGCGGGAAGAACAGCCAAGTGTCGAGACCCGGGACTGTCAGTCAGGCAGGTAAGGATCGCGCCGGCATTGTTGACATTGTTGTCAACCTCGCGGAATGTAGTCGATTGTCCGAGATAAGAACCAGACGCGATAAATATTTATAGAGCTTAATTAAAAAATTTCCACTGTCTTTTCTGCCAATCTTCTATCTCTCTAAAGCCTTAATTATTACAATATTTGCAATTCGAGAGTCACGCTTTTTACATTAATATATCTACAATATTTTATATATTTATATATGTAATTTTAGAAGACATTTTTAAAAGCATATTTTTAAAATTTAGGTAAACCTTTCGAAACTATATCTCACGCCACACCTATTGGATATGTGGTTTCACCTTATCCTCATCCCAACGGGAGTTTGTCAATGGTAAGTACAAAATTTGTAAGTCTTCTCGAGAGTAGCGAGCGGTTTCCACGAAAATCCTTAGATTTTATTTTATTTATTTATTCATTTTTTTACTTTTCTTTCGGTCCTTGGCTCGATTTTTGATACTTTCTGATGTCCGTTTCGAATGTTTGCAGCGTCCTTGACACGCTCTAACGATATTGTAATGTCGCGAAGATCGCGTAAGCGGTTTACTACAAACTTTTTCAACCACACTCAAGGTTGTTGACATATCTTTGGTTTAAAAAACTGCTAAGACAGAACCGAAATACTGAGATCCAAGAAAGGAATGGAAGCAAGTTTAGACAGATATATACATGCTCTTAAGCAAGTTGGGTTGGCTAGGGGTCAAGAAAGGTTATGGGAGGCTTCATAAAGATGCCCATCCGAAATCATCCAGTAGCGATTAACCTTACGCAAGAGCAGCGATGTGCAGCGACTGCGTGTCCCAGAGAGTCCTCCATTCTGTAGCCACGTGGGAGTTGCACTGATGGACGATCCCATCGGTTTTAAGACCCGATTGCGAGATATTTACAATAATTCGAGATTCTCTAATTGTTGGTTTACTTAAGTGCAAGATAGAATTGCCACTCCAGACCTCCTGCCGAGTTGTTTTCAGTTTCTAGATACAGACATAATGGTTCCCATTAAGAAACACATTTCCGAACAATCCCGTTACTTTTGAAACAGAAATAGCATGGCTACGAACGTAAACAGCCATTAAAAATTCACTTCCTCCCGGAGAATTTTTACATATATTTGGATTTAATGTGGTAGGGAAAGGAAAGAAGGAAGAATATAAAAAAAACACTATATATATATACACTAGGATTTATTTCAGGAAGATCGGTCATCTTCATCGAGACAGACAGAAATCAGCCTTGTTGCTGTTTTCTTAAGAACGTGGTGTTCTCGAGGGAGATTGAATTTCAACTAACTTTCTTCTTTTTCTAAATCGAGATAGAAAGGTTTTTTTGTTTTTGTATTTTTACATAATCATTGGAATAATTTTTGTTTACGATATTCAGCTAGTATTTTTTGTCCTTTAATCAGGCTCAAAAACCTATATAAATCGTGTGTGTTTATATATATATATATATAATAGGTATAATAAAAGAGTTGTTCAACTTTAAGAAGCGAAAAATTGGACTCGTAAACTATTTTTAAAGAATAATAACGATTAGAGTGTTTATTTTTGAGAGTTGGAGACGATCCAAGACGACAAACAACGACCCCAAGTTGATGCAAATCTTCCACCATTGGGTGTTCGCCTCTATGTTTTGCAGGAACCAGTTAGTCAAACAGGACTTGTCAGTGGGCGAACGGAATGTTTCAAGGGCTACTTTAAGAAGTTGCGAGGGATAACAGGTTCTAACTGGTTCTTAGAGGTGTCGACGATGAGGTGCCCTCTGTTTTGGAGGATAATAAGTAGAGTGAAGGATGAATCGAAACTCTTTTCCCCCCGCTTAATTGATAAGTCACGTCTCAATCCCGATTTAAGAGGGGGAAAAATTCTACCACTTCTACTAAATAATCCGGTTCCAGAGGGAAAGTTAAAGGTGAAAATAGTTTTAAAGAAATTAAATTAAATTTCGGTAAGATCAAAATATCGCCCGCAACATCGTTGCTGTGCCAGATAAAAAGATAACTTCTCTCTCGTCCAACCTCCGCTTCTATAACTTCATCAAAAATGTTGACTCGGAAGTTCCCTTAATGGCGGCCAGGTGGTCAAGTAGACGAGATTAACTGAAGACGGGTGAGAGACTAACGTAAATAAACGGGGAAGAGCCGAGGGGAAGAAGTGAGACGACAGTTAAGGGAGATTTGGGGTGGGTGGAAACGTCCTATTCCAGACAGGAATTCCTGTTTTCGCAGAAGATGGGTGGATTTCTGTCTCTCGTGAGGTGATTTAACAAATGTCCCTCTCCCGGATGTCGTAACATGACCCCTTCCTGTCTTTCCGTGTTCATCTTTCCAGCACATCCTTCGCGTTCAACGATTCAATAGAATTTCGTTCGGGCATCCCCCTCCTTTCTTTAGGTGACGCTAAAAGTACCAGAAACGATTATCGCCATTTTGCGAATAACGCCACCCAAACTAGTTTCGTCGATAGTATTAGATTTTATCGTACGCAAACTTTGACTTTCTTCTTTTAAATTAGTAAATTATATGCCAACTACATATTTTTTTTTTTTGTCGCCACATCCTCAGACCCGAGACTTTTTCCATTAAAAATCTAAAAAAAAACATATCTTGTATTTTGAGATATAGGGCCTATACAAAGGGGGAAAATTGTAATTATAAAAAATAATAAAAAAAAACGATCTATTGTTAATTTCATAAATAATAATGGAATGCTTCATTTTAAGGACTTATTTTCGTAGAGGTCCTTTTTTTTATTTATAAAAAATACTGTATTTAAATGTGCTTCTATAGAATTTAAATTATATTTTTCGTATAAAATGAAAGTGCCAGACAGAATTGTTCAGACATTTTCATTAAGAAAACCATTCAAAACTAGTTTATATTCTACTGATGAACCAGATTTTATCGTTGAATCTTGCAAATTTTCATATAATTGTTTATTCTTCTTATAAACTAATAAATCCTTTGCAATTAAATTGTTTTCATATTTTTCTTGTTAATGATATAAAACTTTAACAAAAAAAAGTAGGCCTATCAGAGACAATTATCATTATTTTTCGTGTTAAACTCCGCTCAAACTAGTTTTCGTTGATGTGATTCGATTTTTATTATAAAAATATTTTCATAAAAGAAGAATTATTTCTTGCAAATTTGCTCAATTGCAACTTTTGTAATCTGTTCTTCGTTGTAAAAATTTTAAACAAGGAATGAACTTAATACGATATTAATTATTCATAACCTATTTTAAAAATTATTATAGCGTAATTCGGCATAAATTTTGACATAGTAAAATTACAAATTTCCTTGCTGAACACACCTTTTACCATTAGTCTCGCGTCCTTGACCAAAGATTTAAGTCGAGGAGAGACTGAAGAATAAAGTATGCTGCCCTACAAAGAAAGATAAAAATATATATATCAATTTGGTAACGAGATAAGGATAAATCTTTCTTTTTTTTTTTCCTTTTATAACGTAGATAGGACCAGCTTTGTTGCATACAGCATCAATTCTTTTCTAGTCTCTTATGTCCAAAGTCTTGTAGATTCTTAAACGATGCTAAATCTCTTCTTCATCTTTTAAGAAATTTATTTTGAAGATGTGGAGTGGCTCTCTCGGTTGCTGTTTTAAGTTAAATTTCTACGCAAACATCTGAAGTTGATAAGGCTACAACGACGCTTGAAACACCCCAAGCTTGACATCTGTCACATGTCTTCTTAGTAAGATAGTATTTCGGAAGCCCCATATCTTTCTGAAAGTCTTTATTGTAAACAAGTGGTTTTTGTGTGGAGATTGATTCATTTTTAAGAATTAAAAGTTTAATTACCGGTTTTGTTAATGACGTCTTCTTTAATTATAACATCATTTGAAGATCCGATAAGTCATTAGTGTCGTAAGAAAGGGAGTATTTAGGATAGGCCTTTTATTCACCACTTCAACGTAGTCTATCCTACTTGCTTCTGTATAGAAAACTCGATTTATGCCCCCTTTAGACTGAAGTACCCACAGGTGTGCGGATCCAAAAACCGGATCTTGTGGAAAATGACTCTCATAGAGGGTTCCATTTAAATTAGGTCTACTATTTAGGAAGAAACGAGTTGTGTCCATCCCCTTGACCTTAATCCACCTCTTAAGGAGCATTGCGGGATTTTAAATGCCTCGTTATTTAATAAAAGTGAGAGTTTATAGTCCATTCTAGCACGATAGGAAGCAGGACAAGGTTCTGAACCGCTGATAAGTTTAAAAGTTTTGTTTATAATTCTGGTTTCAATGCTGTGACCTTTTCTCTCTCTCTCTTTTCTCCTCCTCCATCACACAACCTGTTTAAATCTGGAAAGTATACGCGGTGCTTTGATAATATTTCATAATTTTTACTAGTATAAACATGTGTTTAATGTAGCTATAAGAATGGATTTACCAACTCCTAAAGCAGAAAATAATAAAATGGAAAAGAAAAAAGAAAGCTTAATAAGTTTCCTTGTTTAAAGTCCTATTTTGGTCCAACTTTCAGCCGTGGAAAACTGTAAATTTTTGAAGAAACCAACCACTTCTTTTGGATTGTCAATCCATAGAAGACGTTCAAATAAGCAAGGCATATTCCATTAGGTGATCGAAAAGAGAGGCTTTTTTCTTTTTTATTACATTTTCTTCTTTCCTGATTTCGTTTCTTGGACTTTTTTCGCTCAAAAATAAGCCTTAATTTCCTTTTTCTCTAGATTTTAAGTACTGTTTATCAAAGCAAAACACGTTTGAAGACATCATAAAATATTGACATTAATTAATATTTAATCCAAAAATGGCAACATCCAACGAACACGGGAAGTTCATTCCCTCTCTTGTAGTCGTATCGATAGACATCGTTCTGGTCGAGATTTTGCTCAATGAATGATGCTCTCGAAGAAGAAAAAAAAGGCCCTCGATACACTTAGCAACCATTGCCTTCAATAGAGATAGATTACGGTAGGCATTTAGAATACAAGTCCAGCAAGCTTTGGCCATTACTAAACAAGATTTATGTAGTTTACATCTGGATCGGGCACAAGTTGCCGTCTGCGGACATTTTTATAGTAGCCAAAAGCCTAAAACGGATTGCACAGAGTCGAAACGATCTTTTTCTATTCGGTGTTGATGGCTTTTATCACCTCAACTATTTTAATGGAACTTTAAAAGATCCGCTTGGAAAATTAGCCAGTCGTTTGAAGGCTATCGGACCAATGCCGATACAGATGGGGTCTTTATAAACAGCATCAAAAGCTGAATTCGTTACAGAGCCTCCGGTAAAGTCCGTTATCTTCTGATCATTAAAGAAGTAAAGAAATAGTAACCGGAGGGTTGTAATA